TTAATTAGCTTTTAATTTAATTATAGATGTCACACTATAATAGAAGTACAAATAATCAAAGATCTGCGGTGATTGATTATGAACGTCAGTTTCAAGAAGATTTAGAACGTGCTCAAGCATTAAGTTTAGAAAGTTTGGCATTAGAAAAATTTAAATTACAAAAACAACGATCAGAATTTAATAATATTCAACAACAACATATTGCACAAAGTCATGAACATGGAGGAAATAATTCTGTACATAATAGTTCATCAGACAGAGATAACATGCAATTTGAAAAGTAAATAAAATCTTAATATTGTTATTTTATAATTATCTTGTTTATATTATAGAAATCATATTTATCTTGTTATTTATTTATTCTAGAAGTTAAATTGTTTATAATAAAAAAAATGATAGATTTCAGTGTAGAAGTAGACCAAGGCCTGGTTTCTGTAATACTAATCAATCTAGAAATGCTGTGATATTAGCACCACCACCTGTTCCATCTAGAAGAAATTCAACAACAGCTACAACAAGTCAAGAACATACTGTTGATTTGATTAATTTTACAAGTCCAGTTAAACAAGATAATTTAAATGATTATTGTTCACCTCCATTTCCACCTCCGTAAGAATAAAATTAGTTCTACTAATAAATTACAAGTATTATATATAAATTATTATTATATAAATATAATATTATTATTATATAAATATTTCTTAAAATTATAACTATAAATTATATTTTTATAATAGAAAAACATCTCTGGAACCAAAATGGGAAACTCATTCTTCATTGTTGAAAAAACAGGGAAGAATATCACGTAGCACTAGTTCTGCAGGTTATCATTCCAGAGATTTTCGATATCAATCTCTTTCTCCAGGCCCTAGATCTTCTACTGCACCTTGTACACCAGGAACTCCAAAAATTAGTCCTATCATGTCAAGATCTAGTAATATTAACAGTAATGTACCTGACATAACACCACAAGTAAGTAGTATGATAATATTTTTTTAAATATGATTAATATAGAATGCATTGGTGTATTATTATTTTATTATAGAAATAATTTTATTAATAATTCTTGCAGCCTGCATGGAATCTTAATGATTTTAAATATTATTTTTTTACACAGGTATACATATATATATGCAAGAATTTTAAATTCAGTTTAACCTAATATCCTAATATTCCTAGTACGTATATTTTCTTTCCTAATATCCTTTATAATATCCTAATAATCTGAAATTTTAAAAAAATTTTATATTAATTTATATTAATATTAATTTTAAATTTATTTATAATTTTCTAGCAAAATATAAAATTTATTATTTTTATTTGTATTATTATTATTTATTTTATTTTAAATTTAATTATGAAACTTATTATTTATTAGATATAAAATTAAAAATAAAGTTTCATAATTTGTTTTACAGATACCTCCACTACCTATAAATTACAGATCAAGTATTACTCCATCTATATGTGGTGTTCAAAAATCTACATTTTGTACGGATGATGAACAACTAAATGTATTAAAAGTGATAGAGAAAAAGCCAAATAATAATCTTATAGATTTGAGTTCTTTTGATCAAATAGAAGATAAAACAAATGTTCGAGTTAGTGTATTAGAAGCATTTGATCCATTACTTGTTAAGACTGAAGATCAAAATGATAATGCGCAAGGGCATAAAGATGGTAATATTTTTTTAAAGATATATAATTAAAAATAATTATATAAATATTTGATAATATAACATATAATCTCATAATAATATAATTAATATGTATAAACAGAAATGCAATCACAAGTTACTGGATCGGTATATGACCCATTTGATCCTTTTGATTATATGTATAGCACAAATGAAAGTGTTAATTCAGATCCAGTATATGTTGCTGTTGAAAAATCTGCTAAATCTCCAGCAGTATCTCCAGCTGCACCACCTCCACTACCTCCTAGAAATTCATCAGCTTGGAATACTATTGAAAGAAGAAGAACTTCCTTAGATAGAAGAGTATATACATATTTTCAATAATTAATTTTCTAAATGAATAATTAATAATAAAAATGTTAATAATTTTAATTTTTCAGAAACGACAAACACGTTTATATGAAAATGTAACAGTAAGAAAAACTAGACCATCACTTCGTGATTGCGATCTTAGAGCTTTCTATGAAATGATAAAATCTGTACGAAGTTAGTAAAATATAAAAAATTTAATGTTTTTATAATATTTATAACTTATATTTATATACTTATATTTATATTAACATAAAATATGTTTAGGTGAATTTCCATTTAATAATCCTAGTACAAATATTGGACATATAATCAGTCCAATGATGGAGAACTTATATCCTGAAGGCACAAGTATAAAATTAGTAGTACATCCACAATTAATAGATTTTGACGAAAATATTCCGTCCATTTCGTTCACGTGCGATGGTAAGCTTTTATATACAAAAATTTTATAATATAAAATCATTATAAATTTATAAATATTAAATAAATTTTAATAATTTAATATATAATATACATTTTTTTTTTTCAGTAAACTGTAGTATTGAGCATGTTATTCTTAATGTCGCTTGTTCCTTAGAAGATGAAGGTACAGTAAATATAGAAAAATATTGTTTGAGAGTATGGGGTTTAGCAGAATATTTTGCACCTAGTACAACTTTAGCGCAATATGAATATATACATCAATGTATCAAATTAGAAAAAGATATTGAATTAGCTATTTTAACTAAAGCACAAATAAAACGATCAATAGCACGAACAGTAAGTACATGTTTGAATATAAAAATATTTAATTCAATCACTATTGATATTACATTATTCAGTTTTCTTAAAAGCTGCAAGATGATAATCGTGATCAATGTCTTAAACTAGAAGATATTCTTCCAAATGAACCAGTACAACCTATTTCGTATGATACGCTTCTTATTTTGTTAGGTATGAAATCAAAATATTATTTTTATAGAATTATGTAAAAAAAGTAAATTAAAATAATTATAATAATTAATATTTTTATATATAAAAAATTATAGAAACTGTAGAAAAAGAAATGGAACGTATAGAAACTGCTGCTATACAATTGGCAACTACTAATCATGGATCCAGTCTTTTACCACAATTACAACCCCGTGGTGTTGTTCAAGCAATAAAAGCAGTGTGTGCATTAATGGGAAATATAGAAACATTTGAAATCACAGAAGCTGTTGATAATTTCGTAAACGCATGTTGTCAATTTTTACCTCAAGTTCATACAACAAATATAGAATGCAAAAAACCCGAAATTTTACATGAAGATGGAGATTATTCAGTAGTGACTTTAAGAACAAAATTTCCAGACGTTATTGCATCTCATTGTCGAAAAATTCGCAATGCAATTCAAGATCTTGTAGAAACTTATTGTCATGCATTTAAAGTTGATTTTGAATTAAATAGCAAGGGAGAAATTCCAACAAGTGAGAATATTAAATTTATAAAATTATATTCAAACATAATAAATTACAAAAAGAATTAATTCATATTATATATTTTCAGATATATTAATCTCGTCTGAAGTATTAGATACTATTTTAGTTCGCGTTGGAGCATTGCACAGATTACCGGGATCATGGAAGCATGATGATTATATCATCGCAGCTCAAATATTTCATGGAACAAGGCCTGTTGGAACTCCTGTTTTATCTGAACCTATGGCAGTCAGTTCTAATTTTTATCCGAGAATTTTATTTAATGCATGGTAATGATTTTATTTTAAATTTATTTAAAATTATTTTTTAAATTTATGAATATGTAAGTTATTTTTTCATTCATATAAAAGGCTAGAATTTCGCGGAATAAGCGTATGTCAAGTACCAAGAGAAGCTAGATTAGTACTGGTTTTGTATGGTCGTACATTGCAACCTACTGAACATGAATCTAATTCCTCAGCAGAAAATATCATGCAGAAAGAAGAATTAGGATGGGGAGCAATTCAATTTTTTGATTATGAAGGGTAATTAATCATATTTATAAAAATAAAAAAATATTTGATTATATCTTTTTTCCATTACAGAATTATGAGCCAAGGAAGCTTTTTTTTATCACTTTGGCCAGCAATTGCTGATAAAAGATTAGGTCCTGCTCCAGCACCTGGAATTCATCCTCATGGAGATACTCATGCTATTATTGGTGTGGAATTACCTGATTATGGAGGAAGAGTATTATTCCCGACAGAATTACGTGATTATGATGTAGAATCTCTTGATTTTAATTCATTGGATCAGAATACACAAGAATTATTAATAGATATCACACAACAAACTACATTTTCAAAGTAAGTTTTTAAATTTTTGATTATAAATATTTATTTTTAAATTATAAATATTGATAACAAAGATTATTAATATATATATATATTTATTTTTTCTTCTTTATTAATTAAATAGACCACTTATTGAAGAAAGAGAAATTTTATGGGAAAAACGACATTATTTACACGATAAACCTGAAGCTTTACCTAAAGTACTTTTAGCTGCTCATAGTTGGGATTGGGCATGTTTACCTGATCTTCATGCATCTCTTAGAATTTGGAATCCTTTGCCTCCTGTTCAAGCTTTACAATTATTATTACCTTGGTAATTTGATATTCTAAATATGAATAGAAAATCATTAATAATTATAATTAATCAAAGATATTTTATAGTTTTCCAGATATGAAAGTTAGAGAAATGGCAGTTGGATGGATTCGAGAATTAAGTAATGACGAACTTGTAGATTATTTACCACAATTATTACAAGCATTAAAACATGAAACATATGAAACATCTCCACTTACAAAGTTTTTATTAGAACGAGCCTTACTCTCTCCACGTGTAGCCCATCATATTTATTGGTTATTAACCCAAGCATTGCCAGGACAAAGTCCTCAAGTATGTAATTCAAATTGAAATGATTTTTTAATTTCTATTAATTTAAAAAATTAAATAAATATTTATATTTTAACACATATTTATTTTTAGAATTCTGCTGAAACTACACCAGAAGATGATAAAAATATTAGTTCAGCACGTTATCATAGAAGATTGCAATTAATGCTACGAGCATTACTGGCCGTTATAGGAGATGCATTAAGAAATAGTTTTCTTACACAACAATTACTTGTTAAAGTAAAGTTTTTTAATATTTATTTATATTTTTTTATAAAATTGTAAATTAATACATTCACATTACATTATTACAGAACTTACATGAAGTAGCAGAAAATATTAAGCAGACAAAAGAATCATTACGTTTGGATACTCTTAAAATTGGTTTACAAAATATACATTGTCAATTAATGGAAGATGATGGTACTTGTTTACCATTATCTCCTAGTAAACAAGTATTTGGTATAAATGTACAAAGTTGTTCGTATTTTCCATCACTTACTCTTCCTTTGAAAATTAATTTCATTAGTTGTGATGATGTAATTTGTTCAGCGATTTTTAAAGTAAGTTTAATAAACATTTGCAATAGTTCATCATAATTTTGTTTTATGTAGAATTTCATAATTATCTAAATTATTAATGATTAATTTTACATCAAACTAATATATTTAAGGTTGGAGATGATTTACAGCAAGATATGTTAACTCTTCAAATGGTTCGTATTATGGATAAACTCTGGTTAAAAGAAGGTCTTGATCTCAAAATGGTAACATTTGCATGTGTACCTACTGGTCATAAACGTGGAATGATAGAAATGGTTACAAATGCAGAAACGTTAAGAAAAATACAGGTTGAATTTGGCTTAACTGGATCATTTAAAGATCGTCCGATTGCTGAATGGTTGGCAAAACATAATCCTTCAGAATTGGAATACGAACGAGCAGTTGAGAATTTCACAGCATCTTGTGCGGGTTATAGCGTTGCTACTTATATTTTAGGAATTTGTGATAGACATAATGACAATATTATGTTAAAAACATCAGGTCATTTATTTCATATTGATTTTGGAAAATTTTTGGGTGATGCACAAATGTTTGGAAATTTTAAAAGGTATATATATTTGTATTCAATATTTGTAAAACTAAACTTTAATATTTTTCATATTTTTAATTAGGGATAGAACGCCATTCGTATTAACATCTGACATGGCTTATGTTATAAATGGTGGAGATAAACCATCAGCTAAATTTCATCATTTCGTGGATTTATGTTGTCAAGCATTTAATGTAGTACGAAAACATGGAAATTTACTTCTCCATCTTTTTGGATTGGTATTTATTTTTGTATTAAATTATTTATATTGAAAGTTTTATATTATTATAGTATAAAAATTTTTATTGTAATATTATTGAACGATAATTCATTCATTTATTATAAAAAATGATTTACTTTATTTTGTAAAATAATTATGTTTAAAAAAACAAAAAAAAATTTTCAATTTAATATTTATATAATTTAAATCTAATTTGTCTTATGAGAATAACAAAACCATAACGGAAGAACTTATCTAAGTCTTTTATCAGAAAGCGGTTCGCGTATCACATTAAATTATATATAATGCGTAGTTAATTAGCATTTATCGTTAATGAATCGTCCTGTAATACCAAATAATGCAGCAGTCTGAATTAATTAAAAGTAAAGCAAACAAGTGAAAACTAATAGATTAATAATAAATAGTTGTTAATTTAATACAATTTTAAGAATTAATATTGACAAAGATGGATGGTTTATTGTCTCAAAAAAATATATATAATATGACTGATTTATATAAATTGCGTATTATACAACAAAAGCTTAGTGACATTGAAATTAAAGAATTAGTAAATAAATCTAAAATGAATAATTACACAAATTCACAGATGACTTCATCTGGTATTTCTGGTGTGACTGTGGATGCAGTTAGTTATGTACAAAAAGCTCTTCTTCCAGAGCAAACAAATCCTGAAGCAGCTGCAACATTTGCTCGAATGATAGAAAGTTCACTCAAAAGTTGGTTTACACAATTTAATTTCTTTCTACATAATTTAGCACAACTTAGATTTTCGAGTGATCATAATGATGGAGCATTATTATCTTTTATACCTCGTACATATACGTAAGTTTAGTAATTTGCTTCTTATAATTATATAAAATTTAAAATTATTTATACATACGTGTTTATTATAGAATGCAACAAGAAGGACAGTTAACAAGCGTTCAAGTACATGGATATCAAAAACGATATGATCCTGAAAAATATTATATGTATATCTTGCGTATAGAACGAAAGGGTCATGCAGATCCTACTTATTTATTTCGATCATATAAAGAATTTTGTGAATTTTATCAAAAATTATGTATACATTTTCCTCTTGCAAAACTTGCTAGGTAAGTACAAAATTATATATTATTATTTTATTTTTAACAATGTAAGATTTTTTATTCTAATAATTTAATTTTGTATCTTTTAATTTTTTTGTAATTTTTTATAATAATAATATATATATTATACTAATATATATATTATAAAAATATATTATAAATGATTTTTTTATATCTATTTTTTATATCTATTGAATAAAATATAAATATAATATCATTTAATAATTTACCTTATTTTTGTATTATTAAGATGAAGATTTATTTTGTTTGATATCAACATTAACAGATTTCTTAAAATTATTATTTATATTTTTTTGCATAGCAGAATCAGTTTGTGATATTTTTCGATAAAATTCAACCATAATTGATCTCTTAGATAAATTTTTTTGTACTGATATTTGAGCACGAAATGGTTTGATACCCATTTTTAATTATTTCAAATTTCCTTTAAAAATCGATATAATTAAATCTCATTTGATAATAAATTAATTAATTTAATAATAAAATACATACCTATTTTATTTTTATTTAAATACTTTAAATCAATGCAATAACTGTAAATATGAAATAACAATATGTTTTATTATTATTTTTGTTTGATTGATATTTTATATTATGATATTAAGAATTGTGATATATTATCTTGTTTCATACTATCTAATCAGATCAAAATTTATGATATATAAAACAATCTTTTTTTAAAGCTAAATTTAAATTTAGATTAATAATAAATTAAATTGTATTTCTCTTTTCAATATTTTAAAAAATAATTGCAAATTTTATTTAATTTATTTATAAAATAATGATATAAGTGATAATTTATTTTAATGTAGCTTACCAAGCGGTATTAGCGTCGGAAGATCTAACATAAAACAAGTTGCTGATAAAAGACGAGCAGATATTGAAAAATTTCTTGTAAGTTTATTCAAAATGGCACCAGAAATTTCTCAGAGTGATTTAGTATATACTTTCTTTCATCCATTGTTAAGAGATCAACAAAATGCTGATATTCATTTAAGCAAAGTAAAAGGTATACAAAATATTGATAAAGAAATTCTATAAAATTTATCATAATTTTTTAAATGTTATTTTTTCCCTTTTTAATTAGTTGGTAATTGGTGGGCTGAAAAGCGAGTAAGAGATAACGTACAAAGTGGACAAATTAAAATGTCTCTTCATTATACACGTGGAACATTTTATGTGATGGTTTATCATGCTAGAGGCTTGCCTAAAGTAGCTAATTGTCAGGAACCAAATACATATGTTAAAGTTTATCTTAAACCAGATCCTACTAAAAAGACAAAACGAAAAACAAAGGTTGTAAAGAAAAATTGTCATCCCTCATTTATGGAAATGGTATGATGGAAATGAATTTAAATAAATGAATCACTCAAATTTTTTAAATTTAATATATAAATAAAATATATTTATTTATTACAGCTAGAATATAGAATGGCTTTGGATGTTATTAAAGAAAGAACTCTGGAAGCTACAATATGGAATCACGATACTTTACAAGAAAACGAATTTCTTGGAGGAATACGTTTACCGCTTAGACGTTTTGATTTAACAATTGAAACAATTGAATGGTTTTCACTTGGAAGTATTCGATGAATGAATTGTCAATTGAAATTTAAGAAAAGATTTATTAATGTTTATAAATATTTGCTTTAATAATACGCACAATATTAACTATAAAATTTTTTTGAATTAAAATGCACAACTATAATAGTGCAATAAGAAAAATAGAATGATCGACACGTGCTTTTAATATTTAGTGAAAATGCTTCTTAAAAAGTTATAACATTGTACAATCTATTATATAAAATTACATTCAACTAATGTATACATAAACAAGAGAGGCATATTTCATAAAATTATTCTCTTTGCAAGAATTGCCAAAGTATAAAATAAATATCTCGTGTTTAACGAATCACAATAATTCGATTAATTCGATTAATATAAATGTTTTAATAAAAACTGTAAAAAATTTTAAGTTTACAGTGCTAAATCTATTAAGGATTTTATAAAAGATATTTCTACTATTTCTTCCGAAAGATAATCTCTAATATGTATGATATTAATAAATGTTAAAACTTTGCTATTCTATTCTATTATAGCAAAATAAATATAAGATTTCTTAAATATTTATATAAACAATATAGATCTTTATAAGTGCATAATAGAAATTTTATTCATAAGTTATTTGCCTATAATTATCTAAAATAAAAAGAAAACTTTTTTACTTTCATATAAAAATTTAAAATTATATATAAGAATAATCAAAATATGATTTTATCTATTAAAATAGGAAAATCTATATAAGAAAATTGCATATGTCAATATTTAATAGGAATTTTTTTATTGCATGAAAAAGGAGAATGAAATTATGTAAATATGCTTTAAAATTTACAAATGTTTTTTATAATTATTTTATATACTGTAATATTTCATAGCGTTTTTCTTGATAAATAATATAAAGTATTATATTTCAGATATATGTTAATATATCAACAGGTAATTACTAAATTAAATTCTAACTTTATAAATAATGGCTTTTTTTTTCAATTCTTTTTTTCATTTTTAAAAAATTTTATTATTTGACATGTATTGCAAGAAATAGACTTTTATTATCATGATTTTATTATCTTATAAAACAAATGATATTGCAAAATATGAAACAATATACTTAATTTAGTCTCCTGTTGTTAGTATATTAATATAATTACCTTTAACTTTAATTTTTATTATAAATGTATTTACAATTTAGTGAAATAATTTAATGGTACAAGTTGCATTATTTACAATTGCATAACTTTTTTATTATAATTCTAAAAAAGGAATTGCGCTAATAAATGCTCAAGCTTATTGCTTTTGCATTACAAATGCTTTTGCATGTGCTTTCTACACTCTTTATATTGTGATATAAAATCATGTAAATTTTAATAACTTATTTATATTTTGGATTTATTTGTGATTTTTCTTTAATGAATTATTTGACATAAATATAGAAAAAAATAATTTAAATATATTTTGATTTATTAGATTTTAATAATTCCTTTTTTGTTAATATTTTTCAATAGAGTTCTTAAACTCTATATTGAAACAAAAAAAATATATATATATATATATATATATATATATATATATATAGTAAATATTGATAATTTAAATCTTGTTTTATTTCTTTCTAAATGTGTATAATTAAAAAAATAATAATTCAAAATATGTATAAATAGTGACAATAAATAAGAACATAATAATGTATTATTAAATAATTACTTATCTAATTACTTCACGATTGATTCGATTTAAAAAAAATACACGAACAAATTCAATTTAATATGAAATACATATGGAACTTTACCGATGAAAGAAATAACATTTTTGCTATGCCAATAAAAGGAATTCTATACCTGAGTCGGTAGCACGTAAAGTAAGGGCGCACATTACTGTAAAAGGATTTCAGATACATACGTAGAGAAAACGTTTTATTACAGTTTTCATCCGCAGATTAGCCCCTTTGGAACCATCGATACTCAATTCAGAACTTTATTGCCCTCCATAAAAGTATCTATTTGGTGTTTTCGGCTGGACCGACTGGACCAAGCAATTCGAACAAAAAGGTATCCTCCGTGCATCCCTCAGAATTTCTCAGTATACGTGAAACGTTGTATGTTTCAGGGTCCAATTACGTACGGATTGCCGACCAGCATCGTACGCACACACAATTCCAAAGACGTTGCGCATCCCTTTCTTTTCCTTTTTATCTTGATTTCTATCGTTCATCGTGAAACATGCCTAAATATAATATACACTACTCTTAAGGTTATATTTGTATGTGTCCATGAAAAAGCATTTTTTGACTTCGTTGTGAACTTTATCCTTGAATACGTTGAGATTTTTAGTTTATACCATTTCAGACGATTTTCAGTTCTATGTCGTAAATCATAGCTAGTAGGAAAAAAGGTTGGAAATCAAATTTTTATTGTTCAGACTAGATATTTATATTATCAATTGAAAATTTGAAATCATTACCTTTTCCTATTTATATTGAATCTTTTTCATTATTATTAATGTATAATTAATATTACAGACATTAATTTTTTTATTTAATTTGATAGATTTTTGATAATAGAATTTTATATGATGAAATTTAATTTTAATCTTAATTTAAATATTTTTTAAATAAATTTATATTTGAATTTTATAAAATTGGTTATTGATTTAAAACTATTGGCCAGTAATATCATATTATACTTAATATATATATTATATATTTTAAAATTATACTAATTTAATTAATCATATTCGTTTCTATTTTCAGGTTATATATCGCGATTATCAGTAAAATTTTTATATTTTATAGCATATCATATTTGAAAAGAATAGAAAAAATATTTTTTACTAAAAAAAAAAAAAGATATTAATGAATTTGAAATTGATGAAATTAAATGTATATTAAATATATAATATAATTGTGTCAATTTTTTAATAATATAGAAATGTAATATAATGCAATAAACGTTTTTATATATTTGTAAGAAGTCAAAAAGTGATCAAAAAGTATCTAATAGCGAATAGTGAAAGTTCTTAATATAAATTGGAATAATTTTAATATAATTCATTACGATCATAAATATAATTGTAAAAATACGCGGGAATATCAGTACAAGGTTTGTACGACCATTTTTGATAATTTAAACATTATATCCTTTTCATTATTTTCTAAACAAATTACGCAATTACATAATTTTTATTTTTTTCATTCTTGATATTTTAATTTTGTTGAACTTATTTCTTAAGTTTTTTTTTCTTTTTTTAATTTTTTTTATTTTGTTTATTTTCAATTATTATTTTGTTATTTTTATTATATTCTTATTTTTGTTTATTTTTTTCTAGCATCTGATATCAGGAATAATATTTATAATGTTTTTATAAATGTTTACAATAAAATTATGGATGATTATATGTTTAATACTTCTTCATTTATTTTTTTAGGAAAATATTCGAAATATTTCCATTTGTGATGTTTCTTATTAACCTCGAATTAAATATTAAAAATTTCGATGAATTTTTATGAATTTAAAAATTATGAATGAAACTTTAAAAATATGATGACGATTGAATATAATAGAAATAGAGACACACAAGATTATACGATAATAGAGGATAATGTTTTGTCCGAAATCAAGGATCTATTAGAATTTTTTTTATGAAAAATATTCGTATACAATGTTCGTAACGATATAAAATAGAAAAGTAATTAGAAAAAATACTTATCAAAAAATATAATAACGCAACTCATAGATCACTTTTTTGATCATGAAAATATATATAATAATCTAAATTATACAAATTTTTCTATAAGCGCAATAATTAATCAATTTTTTTAGCTAAGTATGTATGACTGAAATATGAAAAAGTATCTAATAAATATGAAAAATGTTATTTTATCTATTTGACAAGTTTTACAAGTAAAGATTTGGTAGCATTTCAATTATCAAAAATGGTTAATATCTGGTATTAGATGCCTATCCCATATATTGCCTAGCATTAATGGAACTTCTATACCGTTACATTCTAACATTATCATCTGACAAAAATGAAATTTTATAGAAAGATAAAAAAAGATTATTTCAACTTGGCTTTTTAAATTATTTCGAATTTATTAGAAATTTATAAAGTTAATTTAATTTCAGTTAATTTGATCAAGTATGAAACAATTTAAATTTCTTTATTAATGATATATGAAATCAGAATAAAAGTATCGACACTATAAACAGAATAGAAAAAAATTATAGGAAAGAAATCTAATAGAATAAAAAGAAATAAAAAAAAAAAACTAAAAAAAAGAAATAAGAAAAAGAAAACAATAGATATTTATAGAAAGAGCGAAAAAAAAAATAGAACAAAAAATTGAGAAGATCAAGAACAGAGGAGAGGAAACTATGTAGAGAGAACTCGGTTGCGTGTAAACAGCGGAAGTTACTTTCAGGGGATAAAGAGAGACTGGGGTCGGACATCGATCTGGTAGTTAAGTTCAGGGCTCTCAAGGGACTCGTTGCTACCTTCGCAGCTTCGTCTCCTCCTCTTGCTTTATTTGCACCACTCTTTGTGTGTATTCTGCAGATACATGTTGCCATCGGTATCGTTTCCTTGCCATTCACATAAACCGCATTACACGTTTTTACATTCGTATTTATGTACGATTTAACGAGAGCCATTTGAACGGCCATCGCGTTGCTTGAGATGAAGCGAAAAATTTTCCATCTCGGAGAAATCGCAAACAAATCGAAAGATCGTAAATGTTATTATTACTATTTTGCGTAACTATTCTATAGATTTAATCGTATTTCATGATCGTATCTCGATAAATTTTAATAGAATTTTAATAGTTATTGTTTGTCGATTTTTAGTAATTAAGAATATTGTTATAAATTATGGCATCATAAACTTATTTACTATTCTATAGATTTAATCATTAATCATATTTCACACTTGAATCTTGACAAATTTTGATTAATAGTTCGATATTATCGATAATTTTCAATAATTGAAAATATTGTGTACAATTTTATTGAAATTGATAAAATTTGTTAATATGATAAATTATATTTAATAATGTTTTTATAAAATAGGGACATTATTTTATACTTAAATTTTTATTTATAGTAATTTTTAATAATAATTTTAATATTTTAATAATAATTTTAACAAATCAAATTATATTACAATTCAAATTTTTAAATTATATTTGTGTTATTATAGGATAATAAATTCATATAGGATAATAAAGAGCTAAAGGATTATTATTAAATATAATGCTATCTATTTTGATCACATATCAGAATAATGCTAAATTTAATGATTATGTAACATTTACATTATTATATTATTAATTTGTTATATAATAATAATTTACAAATTTTAATATTTATATATATGTATATATATACATGTATATATATATATACAATATATCCAATCATACAAATTCACATGCACATTTTCATTCAACATTTTCATTCATATTCTTTTATATCTTCATCATAATAACATTATAATTGCAGTCTGCATATGTATAATACTTAATTAATAACTACGCTTTCAAGGCACGCATAAAACATCAGCAATTTTTTTTTATTTTTTTCCGTCTTATTAACAATAGCGTCATCGTTCATTTCTTTTATTGTCGTGATTAAAATTCGAAATTTTTCATGATTGAAGTTGTAGCAATATATATACACATATTAAAACATATTAGCATGGAACAAAAAAAGAAATAATAAGAAAAATAAGTTTAAATGAGAATTTTGAGAATCATAATAAAATATAATCATAATAAAAGTCGATGATTAAAATTAATAAGTCTGATTAAAATTAATAAAAAAGAAAATTACATAAAAACGATACGTTCTATTTTTCGTGTCCTTTTTTGAGGCATATATTTATACAAAATGTTAACATATTCTTCAAGGATATCTTGAAGAAATGATTTTAGAAATCAAAAAACAAACACAAAAATCGATGTATAAAATGAAACTTTTAGAAACAATTTAAATTCGCATTAAATAATATGAAATAAAGTAATATAACTTTATTTCTATTATATTATTGCCTAATTGTTTCTATCATTAGTGAATTTAAATTTCTTAAATAAATAAATAAATATCAACATTTTCTATATCAATTTTTACATTTGTTTTGTTTCTTTCTAAAATCAATTTTTTAGAAAGATCCTACGAATATATTAATAGTTTATATAAATGGAATATTATAAATATTTATTTATATAAAAGTAATTTCACATTTTTCTCTCATGTGATTTCAATGACTGTATTTAAAAAATAATATATTGCATTTTTCGATAAGAAAGTATTATGATTTGCTATAAATTTCTTTTACTAATTTTTTAACAAAATTTGCTAAACTTAATATATAATTGCACAACTTTCTTTTAATTTCCTATAAATAGATAGACGTAAAAATTGATAATATTGCAACCAGATAATACAATAAAATTACCCATCGTAAATTATAAAAATATAATTATATTTTTATAATTTATAATGAATAATTTTATAATCGAATCCTTTGAAATAATTATCATAATATACATTATATTGTTTAAGAAATAATTACATATGTACATTTCGATGTTTACATCTTTAACATATAGCTACAAATTTCTTTTTATATAACACATTCAAGTTTAATGGAGCCTTGAATTAATCTTATTTAAACTTAAACTATCGATAATCAAGTAATAAATTATTTAATTATAAACTAAAAAAAGGATATAATTAATTAATAGGAATAATTATAGAAAGCGATTTTCACGAGTCCTCAAATTATCGTGAGATCATATATCACAATATATATCTATTTCTACTTTTCTTTTTCTTATTCTATCAATATCATTTTTTCTGTATTGCATATGACGGAAAAAAATGCTTATGGTCAGTCATGATTGGACCAAGTTACTGAATATTCAGGTCATAGATTGTTTGGCATAGATTGCGTCTGTGTGGCCTGCAGCGTAGGGGGTGCGTGGTTTAAACTAAACATCTGTGAACTATGACCCAGAGACGATGAGTTACCGTTGTGCATCAATCCACCCAGCATTCCTCCAAGTGACAGACTCGCCATTGCACCGCTCGCGCTTGTAACACTTTCTGCTGCCTTCAACTCTCTTTCTCTCTCCATCTCTTCCCGTTTCTTCATCTGTTTGCGTTCTTTTGCCCGACGATTTTGAAACCAGATCTTTACCTATAACATCAACAAAACATTCTCTTTATAAATAAAAATAATCAAAAATAATGGAATATGAAAAGTATGATATAAGTATAAAATTTTAGATTTATTACAGCTTAGTATTATAATTGTGAATCAAATGAATTTTGCACGAAAAGAATTTTTTAGAAATTTTAATTTTAGATGCTTTAATAGTAAAAGAAGAAAAAATTTTCAAATAATTTGATAAATAAAATAATTTATTAATTACTTTGATAAACCCGGTTCCTAAAAATTGAGAATGGAATTTTCATGAAATATTTTAGATATTATAGTTAATATATTATAGTTAATAAATATCTAATTTTTAATAATTATAAATCAAATAATTATAAAAAAAAATATAACAAAGAAAAATATTAGATATTTTAAGAATAAAAGTAAAATTTTCACGATTAATTTAAGGAATTATAAATATCTAAAGTGAATTATCAATTACTTTTAACATTATTCGATTTTATTAATGTATATTGCTTAAAATCTCTTTTTATTTATTATGCGATTATATTTCGTATTAATAGGCACATAGACACATTAATAGGTTTTGTAGA